ATGTTTTCTTTTCTATTATGTTTATATCTTTCTTTCTCCACTCTGGACTTGATATCTATCTAGTTATTCGTATTGTGCAAAAATTGATCTGACAAGAACATTCAATTGGATGTGAAAGTTAAGACCACACAAAAATCTCAAAATCGGATAATTCTGCAAATCCAAATTAGATGTTTGGAACTAAGACAATGAAAACCTGCTCCTACTATTACAAAATGGATTTGACTTACATACACCGATAATGTAAAGAATTTTTACACTATCCGTGCATAATAACATGTAACATGTCTTATTTTCCAAGTTTACAAAAATAGCCATAGTCTTCACTTCTTTGCTGCCCATGCCACTGAAATAGGACTTCTAACTTTCTGTTCTTTATTTCTTGAATTGATCCACATCAAGTGCCCTTCTGCAAAATTTCTCCTTTGAGTTCCAATTCCTTTCCTTGATATAAACCAAATTCTGTAACTTAAACTTTGGTTTACACGCTTAAATATGAGACGTCGCGGTTTAACTCTGACTTTAACTCCCTCAGGTGCAACAACATTAACTGAATAAACAGAATTAGAACTCCCAACATTTGTTACTCTCCTTGTGATCATCTTTCTTGTTTTTCCTGCCTTAAAAATTACAGAAATAGAGGGGTAATTAAGGCTAAAACCCCTATTCTTCTGTAATATATCATGGCAACTAACATTCTTGTGAGTAATACTAAAGATTTCAAAACTTTTGTACCCAAGAGTACATAGGTGAGTGATATAATCATTTGCCTGAATGTCATATACCAATCCAGGATCATCGGCTTTTCCAGGATTTACATGTCCAGCTCCAATAGCAAAAATTCCAGCTGGCGTGTCGCCATCCATTATTGGTTTTCCCTTGTGATCAGTTGTATCAGCAGTTGTCATTAGCGCGGATCTTATTGCAGCTGGTGTCCATTTTGGATGAATTGAATGGATTAATGCCGCAATTCCACTAGCATGAGGACATGCCATTGAAGTTCCTGATAAGACAGTGAAGTTTACTCTTCTTGTATCCTCAGGTAGGCCACTCGGGCCTATATTTTGCGGCCAAGCAGCTATAATGTTTACACCTAGAGCAGAAGCGGATCCAGAATTTAATTTTAATAAGTACAAGGTTCTAAGTCGTTTGAAAATATGGTTTAAAAACATCATATTGTGCTACTGACCTGGAGCAATTAAATCAGGTTTAAGAATTGAAGGATCAGTAAAACTTGGACCTCTTGAGGAAAATTGTGCAACTGCAGGTGCTCTAGATTTTCCTATAACAGTTCCTCCAAATATGATTCGAGCTGTTGGTTTTCGTGTTGAGTTTATATAGTTTTGCAACTGAATTGATTCGTCGAAACCAATCAATGTTGCTGGAAGGACATGGACATCGACGGAATCTTCCTCCAAATTTACTGCTGTATTTGCTAATATCATGGCAACACCACCTGATTCTTTAACAACTTGACCTTTCTCTGCTCTTCCATTGATTCCGCGATTACATACTACTATTTTTCCATGGACTTTTGATTTTGGAAGTGACCCTCTTAAACAAAATTCACTTCCATTATCTCCATCTGTGAGATAAACAAGCTCAAGAATTTTCTGAGAATTATGAACTTGCTTTCCAGGGTACAAGGATTCTCCATACACATATTTGCCATTACCTGTTGGAAAACAAAGAACACAAATAATTTAGGCTTGAAACACGTTAAATATCTCAATAACAACAAACCCAGTGAAATCCCACAAAGTGGATATAGGGAGGGTAGAGTGTACGCAGCCTTACCCCTACCTTGAGAAGGTAGAGATGTTGTTTCCGATAGACCCCCGACATAAGTTGTGGAGGTCGAGAACTCAAACTCATCTCCATTTTCATCGAACAACGAAGGTCTGAAGAAGCATTATAAGCTTTTCATCATTGACCGATATGAAACACGTTAAATAACGTTGTCCTAAAAGCGATATCTGCTCTCTCTCCTTTGCGAGATTGCTTTATAATTGAATGCAAACAACTTTAGTGGATATGACAAGCCTACGATAATAGATGCAAGACTAGAAAGTTGTTTTTTCTGGCAAAGTAAACGACAATTTATAGGGAAGAAAAAACCAGCTTAAGATAAAAGGATGTAATGTTAAAAAAATTAATATGCATACTTATATTTAAACAAATTGTAACATTACCTAGCTGAATTATTGCTGGAAATTTCCTGTCAAGAGTGCTAGCACCAATAGTGGAAATCCAAGGTGCTTCATTTGCTACTGAACTTTGAATTGGACCATTATTTCCAGCAGCACATACAACTGACATCCCATGTTCCATAGCGCGAAAACTGCCAATAGCAATAGTATCCTCATAAAGTGGAACAGGGAAACCACCAAGTGAGAGTGACAATACATCTACTCCATCTCTAATAGCTGCATCCATTGCTGCAAGTATATCAGAACTGTAACAACCACTTGACCAACAAACTTTATATATCGCGATATGAGCACCAGGGGCCATCCCTCGAGCCTCTCCTGCTCCGTTTCCAAGCACATTCGCCATTGGAACGGGAGCTCCCCCTGCAGTTGATGCTGTATGTGTACCATGTCCTTGTGAATCTCGAGGCGACAAATATTCATCCATTAAATCTAGTGTTGTTGTTGCCTTTGATGCAACCATATGTCCTATGTGAAAGAACCTTGCACCAATAAGCTTGCGATTGCAACTCGAAGAATTGAAATCCTGTCCTTCTTGGCAAGTACCTTTCCATTTCTTTGGAATAGGAAGCATCCCATGATCAACAAAACTTGGGCTCTCTGGCCATACTCCAGTATCAAGAACTCCAATGATCGACCCTCGACCAAATCCAGACTTTAACCAAGTACCTTATTAGGAAAAAACATAACATAAAGACAGAATTAAAGAAAGTAAGAAGATAGACTCTGAGGCGTGAAAACAACTTTCCTTAAAGAGACATTATCCGTGTACTACTTCAAATTGACTTAGCCACATATTTATGGAGTTGAAAGAAGGCTATTCAGAATAGTCATCTTATTTCATGAATAGACATGTCCTATTTTAAATTTATATGAGTTTAAGTTATATATACTGTCAGCATACGAAATATTTACACCATCATGTAACTTTTAAACTTAAAAAGGGCAGCCTTGCACTAAGCTCCCGCTATGGGCGGGGTCTGGGGAAGGGCCGGACCACAAGGGTCTACTGTCTGCAACCTTACCCTGCATTTCCGCAAGAGGCTGTGTCCACGGCACGAACCCATGACCTCCTGGTCACGTGACAACAACCTTACCAGTTACGCCAAGGCTCCCTACCATGTCAGTTTTAAACTGACGTTGTAAAAATTTCTTATACTGACAATATAATGTATATAACTTAAAACTCAATTTATATATTACAAACTATATAACATACCTTCCTTTGTAGGACTAAGTCCTAAGAATTTGTAAGAGTAAGTTGTCTGAATGTCAAGTTTCCTCTCTGGAAATATGGACAACACATTATTTGATTTCCTCAGTGACTTTAGCTCATTTTCAGATAACAAAGCTGCAAAACCTTCAAATGCAGAATGGTAAGAGTATAAAAGTCGAGAAGTAGAATCTTCTCCTGAGGAAATGAATTTTTCAAGAAATGAAAGGTGCCATTGAAGCTTAGAACTAAAAGGGGTTCTTGCTGTTGCATGTGGATGTAATTGAACTATGTAAGTTTGCAAATTTTGAGCTTGTAGCAGAGGAAAAAAACATAGTATGAAACAAAGAAAGTAGAATTGGATATTGAGTTCCATAGAAATAGTAGATACTCAATTCTTGGAGTTTACTGCATGTTTTGTTTGAAGATTTGATGTGGTATTTAAAGGGGTTAAAGAGAATTCAAAAATGGTTTAAGAAGAAGAAACTCGTGAAATTTAAGAGCTCCACTTCACGAGATGTTTTTTTCAAGATTTCAAAAATCAAGAAAATATTCATATGATTTTTTAGTATTAATTTGTTCCAATTTGTTCATGTAGTATATAGAAAGAAAATTTTAGAACGTGGAGATATTTGTTCATTTAATACGTTCATTTGTTTACCAAAAATAAAAAATAAAAATTTACCAGTGCAATTTATGCACACGCTCCACTGCGGCATTGGTTTTTAGTTTTTACTGCATTTGAATTTTGAGCATTGAATTGAGTCACGCCATGGCTAGCTTCTTCTTAAGATATTGGCGCAGGCTTTTGAGGCTCCTTTAGGTACTTCTTAAAAAAAAAAAAAAAAAAAAAAAAAAGAGCCTAGTGCACTACGATATAGTAGGTTCGGGGAAAGGCCGGACCACAAAGTTACTTGTATAAATGAAATAACTATAAGTAATTATATGTATCTATCCATAGTAAGTATTAGTAGTAATTTAATTAGGTAATTTGAAAAATAAGACAGGATAACCTGCTATAACAAGTTAAAATGCACTGATAATGTAAAAAAAATTTACACTGTCAGGGTATATATGTTAATTTCCCTCTAAATTTATGTTTTCCTGAACTGACATTGTATTTGTTTCGTATACCAATAGGTAAAGTTGACCTACAATAATATGCAACTCTTCATGGCATATATTATAATTGGTCAATTGAGATAGTGTAAAATTTATTTATGCTATCATGAGTGTATATAACTAAAATCATATTCCATGCTATAATTGGTAAATTAAAATAGTGGTTCTTTGGCTAGTTTCGTCGATTATATATCGAGAAAAAACTCATAAATTAACTCAAGTTATTGTATCTTGCCCAGAAATTGAAGACTAGATAAAAAAAAATAAAGAGCGAGAAATAAATAAAAAATTTCAAAAGTTTGAATCACATTAAAAGTAAGTGAGAAACCATAGTTGCTCGTCGAAAAACAAAATAAGAACAAATAAAGACTTCATGATATTGATGGTTAATGATGTTAGCTAAATGAATAGAAAAAGAAACAAAACTGAGACAAATGCAAATAACAACATCCAACAAAATGTAACAACTGCTCCATTTTTCTTCTTTCTCTTCTTCATTTCTCTCTCAAATTTCAAGTCTTTAAATGACAAATTTACACCAGGATCCCCCATTTTCACTTTGCTTCCCAACAAAATGGAGTTATTCACTCCTTGAATATTGTTACTTATATAAATGTTTATGCTACAATATTCTGATCTTGATTCACTAGAACTTGTATCACGACGTACAATCATCGATGCTCCAACATTTCGCCCTTCCAAATTGACACTTTTAAATGGCACATTTTTGCTCTCTGGTGACATGAAAACTGATATAGCTGTAGTAATTCAGGAGTTGAGAGATGGTAATTTCTTCTTTGCCTTGGCTATTCAGCCTTTTCTGTGTTAATGTTAAGTACAATTTACTTTTCTGTACCTACAAGAAAAGTATATGCTCCTATGAAATAACTTAATGAACACTCAATAAAAAGATAACTCAAATACTATTTTTTCCAAATCTCAACCAAATCATGTCCAAATGCCTACTTAACAACATCACAAGTACAATCGAAATGCCAAGATCAATAACTAAGTACAACTCTTTCAACTGGAAAGAGTTAAAAGGGCCGGACTGCAAGGTTCTATTGTACGCAGCCTTACCCTGCATTTTTTAGAATATATAAAATAGGAATTTGCTGGCTAAATGATGACACTAATTACAATTACAGTTTTTTTAAGTAATATGAGTTACCAGTCTCAACACTACATTATACATGTGTACATATGGCAACACACCAAATATAAGTTTTCAACATAAACTACCTTTTTCTAAGCAAAGTTCTTAAATTACATCAATCCCACAAAAAAAGGTAGGGATGATGATCTTCTAGGCTATTTTTCTTAGTTTTCTGATCATGTTATTGGAAAATCCATTTCATTTGACCACCTATACTTCCAAAATTTGGAGGAAGAAACCGGCATTGTTATCATAATTATGCCTGAATAAAGTTTCTCCTTACAGCCTGTTCATGGTTCGTGCCTTTCTATGCTACAACACCGGTATATCATAACATACACGAAGAAAAAGGTTAGTCCGGTTATATGTCATCTTGCTTCTTCTCTGCAACAACAGAAAGTTCAAGCACATTTTTTTGGTAATATCCTACTCGTTCTCGAAGCTTGAAAGACGAGCATCTGACAAAACGGTGAAAAGTTGTGTATCCACAAAAAGCTGCACAAACAAGAAGAGAATGTACTGATGAGATGTTTCTAAGCTTCAAATAACAGAGAACTATGCAATCATCCTACTCGAAATAACAAAAAATCAAGAAGAATATCTCAAGGAAAAGGTTCTATGTTATCACAAGAATAATAGATGACAATAAACTCAATAATCCACTCCATTAAATGCATGAAAATGGGTACTCTGCTCTCATGCCTTTTAAGGCAACACCAACCTCGAGGTCTTGAGTCAAGATTGAAGAGTAAAAGCTTGTTCTGGAAGCAAAATAGCTAACGAAAAAAGAGAGCTTATATTGGTGGTTCAAAGAAAACCCAAGAAACCCACTCGTAATGCCCCCAAAAATGGAAAAAGAGAGACATGTAATGAGAAAATGACATGTTAACTGTGAAAACCAAAAGAAAAGCAGGTGGTTCTCACACTTTGTAATACTGAAAAGTTCATGGAACCTCGGAGGTGTATTATAAGTGTAAAGAGGCCTTCAATTAATAAGATATATGACTCCAATTCGATTGCATGTTCAAAATCATTAGTCAGTGGAAACATAAAAACAAAGTTCCAATCCAACAACCACTGTACAGTGTGCTGTGCATCTATTCTGATTGCCATAATAAAGAGCGGGCTGAGCTATTCAGCAAAATTTAGCATCCCATATCCCTTAGCAATATAGCAAAGTGCCTTCAAAAGCAGTTATACGTGGTACTGAGCAAGCCAAGTGAAAAACAAAAGCCAATTAAATAACTACCACTTACTGATAACAGACCCCGTTTATGGGATCAAACTGGGTTTGTTGTTGTTGTTGTTACTTATAACAGAGAAATTGATTTTACCTTCACAAAAGGTTGATCCCTACCAGGAAAAGAATCAATAAAGCTATCCTTTAGCAGTATCGAGACCTGAAAAATAATAGAAAGTTAATGGACTCAGACTACTAGTTTCCAGATCAACCTACCAAAAGATTGTGGAGTCAATTGGAAACTCGTCATTACCCGGTCACTGTTTGATTGTACGCTGGTTATAGTATGAGACCTCAAATCTGAACAAAGAGACTCTAAATAGCGCCGCATAACAGTCAAGAATTGTGCTGCAGCTTCAGCCTGAAAATAGTCATAATTTAACATCAAAAACATAGAAGGAGAAAAGCATGTCATAGGGGAAGAATTAAACAATTCAGAAAATGCAGCTATGGCACAAGCACCATTTGTACAATAAGAAAACTAGGCTGTACATAAAACCTTTTTTTTTACCAGACAATAAAAGTTTTCTTTAGGCTGTACATAAAACTTTTTACTTTACCTGCTCAAAGAAGAAGGTAAAAATCAGTAGGCTGTACATGGTGAAAGGATTGCTACCATCATGATATAGAACAAGCAACACCCTAATGTAGTTCAAATAGATAGTTTTCCAAAATCAAAGTTACATGCCCCTTTCTTCTCGTACCCTTTTGAAATTGACTCCACTACTATGTTTTCAAATTCCTCATCCTTGCGCTCTTCTTAATTCATATTTAGGCTCGTAAAGGTGCATGAGAAGATGGAAGATAAAACTAAATATGAGGCTGGCTGATCAAGCTCCATTTATTCAAAATAAGAATCGTAATATCAGGCTAAGCACGACATTAAAAGAAGCTGAATAATGACAGATACCTGCACTTCACTGCATCTGTATATAGGGCGCCTTTGAGCAACAGTGTCTTCGCGTGACAATCTAGCGTGGATTGGCCGCAGTTCTGACAGAAGCTCCTTACGTCGAGGAAGTAGAGGCAAGTAACACGATTTTATCTGCTGGCTCAACATACAAATATCAAGATTAAAAGTTTGAAAGCTAAGACAACCAAGTTCTAGCAATACTAAATGCCATGACATCAGTAGCACCACATTATCCAGAAATATTGAGAAGAATTTATATGCTCTAGGAAAGCACAAGCTAAGAAAACTACAAAGCATGTTGATATCCGACACCAAAACCACTTACTAGATATGATAAATACTTTCATGAACCATAACTACAACAACTAACCTGGTCTTTGGTTACATTAACACGAACAAGATTAGCGCTTTTCAGCTTCAAGTCAGTTGGTTTGTGCTGCAGGCCAACCTGTCAATCATTGGTCACAAGGAGGTGAATTCAGATTATGATTTGCAATTTCTCCTCTGAGTAGAAACTCTAAGGTAAGCCGAATTTGTTAACACCGATATGTCACTTATAGATATCGATAGATGGAAACACAAAGCAGATGGCTAAGGGATGACACTCTCAGATACCACAAAACTCAACAGTTGGCTTTCAACCTTGCCAGTTATACCGGACAAACTGCAGCACCAAGGATATTTAACTAGCTGATTAGCAGAGTTTTGAAGAAGCCAAGGCAAACCATACCTATTTACCTATTGCTAGGGGAATACAATGATTTTGGTGCAGTTATGCGTGAGTCTCCCATTGCAGTTTCTTTACATGGTCTTAGACAATCCTCATCTCATGGGCTAGCTTTTAGGATTGAGTTAGGCGCAAGGTCAATTTTCTTAACAATGTGAAAACTATAGTTCCTCAGTAGTGCAAATGTATCAAGGTTCACTAGTCTTGACTGGACTTGACGCGTTCCATGCATCAACTAAAGTAGACTACATCTTCCATTATCATGCTCATGCATGCTATTATTTGTAGGTCTTGAAACTAAAATATACCATTTTTCTGTTGCTGCTGAAATCATTTCTCATCCGATGAGTGGGGAGAGGAGGAGGTGTCCTCAAGAGATATTATATTTTTCATTTTTTATTGTAACGGTGGTGTCTGGGCAAAGTTGAGCCGCACACCTCGACTATCCACCGGATAACCGCTACCTCCAACCAGCACATGTATCGGTTACTTCTGCTCACTAATGCTTACGTAGATGGGAAGAAATCACCTAGTGTTTTGGTCTCTGCTAGGATTTGAACCCTGGAGGCTTGCACCCATTTTATTGACCATTAAGCCACACCCTTGGGGTGCTCTCGAGCACTTTTTTATACTATAGACATTTCAGGGGATACTAATGTTTACATAATATTGGCATGAGAACTTTAACCCTCTTTATTATTTTATAACACGTTTAATATTGGCATGATAATAGAGGGATGCCTAATAAAAGATTTCGTATTATCTTACATGGACAGTAGGCAGGCAACACAGAACTATTCTCAAACTGCCCACTTTACGCAGCCCAGCCGGAACTGTCAATTGGCATCCAGTTCTTTTGTGAACACGCATATGTAAAAGAACATTAATGCGGATGCCAAGACAGACGCTGAAATGAGAAGAGAAAAGAAGAGGCATATTCATCTGACTGCTTCCGGCACTTAATTGACTCGTCTAGTACTAAAGAAGGAACAATTCTCCAACCAAACATATAGCATAAAATATAGTTGGACAATCTTAAGGTTGCAATAAAACTGTAGCAGAATTTCACCAAAAGTAGAAGGAAGAGACAGAAAAAAAAAAGGAAAAAGAAAAAGAAACTCACAATGAAAGGTACAGGAGCATCAAGGAAATCAAGCATCTTTCCAGGCAAAATCTGAATTAAGAGACAAAGTCAATTGACGATTGTATCTTGACGAGAAGAAGAAAGAGGGAGAGTGCTATATTCAGTATTATGACGATTAAAATCATGAAGGATGATAGCTGCACAACACACATATTGCTGTATAATTAAGTTCTCGTGTAATTCAGTACAATGTACCATGAAACATCTTTCTAAATCACAAACAATTGAAAGGTTCAAGAATTAACAGTCACGGGGTTGAATGCATGATTTGCACCAAAGCTATTATGCTCACATCATTAAAGGGCCATGAGATTTAGGGGGGTACTTCTCCTCACTCATTAGCTGTTGTTATGCTCACATCATTAAAGGGCCATGAGATTTAAGGGGTTACTTTTCCTCGCCCATTAATTACTGGCGATATTGTTTACTTGTCAACAAGTGCCAACAAATTATGCATCTACTATTTAAGAGCTTATTCAACTAGAAACCCCATAGCGAAGGAAATAAATCCGATCAAGCACTTGATATCACCAAGGAGAAAATGATTAGTTGTGAACAAGCAATGCTCCTGTACAGAATGAAAATTACATGACAAGTATAGGTACTCATTCAATCACCCATTAACACATTGAACATTTAAAATTATAAGGTAACAATAATGGTATAGCACAGTAAATATCGACAGAGATTACAGAGTCAAAATTATGAGGCTGAGAAGTAATAGCTATGATACAGATCTTACAGGTAAGAATAAACTCTGCCATTGAAATGGACGAATAATGGAGATCAGAGATAGCACCACAGCAGATAGAACACCCTGTACTTGTTGCAAAATAAGAAAATGAATAAACTCTTCAAGAAATACTAAAAGCATATGAATTCCAAGAGAAAAAAACAAATTACCAAATTGGGGCACACAATAACCACTTGTTTTTCAAGAAGCACACCAGTGACTAAGGCCACTATCTGAAAGAAGAATTACTTGTAAAACTGAATAATGAATGACATTTGAAAATCATAATCTTATGCAGTGAAATTTATGAAGAGCAGACACTTGCTAAAATTTGGGAATAGGTAAGCTAAGTGGCCAACAGAGATTGACGCAGTCCAGGTTTCAGAACAGTAGTCAGTAGAAACAGAATCAGACATGAATTACGGACTACTCAAAATCTTACGGTCTCAATTGAAAGTGCACGACAGATTGTTGCAGTTGTCCATATAGATAGTCCAACAGCTTCCTCAGCAGCGGCTAAATGGAAATTTACCTAAGAAAGATAATAACTGTCATCATATAGAAAGAAAAATAATTTCAATCGCAAGACGCGAATTAGAAATGGTCTAACCTTTGCAACTTCATCTGGATCCTTCATACTTGTACCCATATGTTTCTCACTAATTCCGAGTTCAGAAACTGAAATTCTCTCGTATTCAATAGCCTGCAGATGTTCGAGTGGCTGGAAAACAATCTTACTTCCTCGTGGTGGAAGGGGCAAGGAATGATAACTACAAACAATTTGCAGCAAATCATTCTTATTCTCCTACACAAGAGCACAACAAAGTGATTAGAGGAGGTGTTGATTCATAGGTGAGCCAGACACTAAACATGAATTTCTGTGGGTGGAAAAGAAGACTACAGACTCTAGCCCACTCCATTATCATCTCGCACCCAGCATCCTTGTCGTTGCTGAAAAATAAGTCATCATCTTCGTCCTCGGATGCCATACTTCTTGCTGAACTGCCAAAAGAAAACAACTTATTGACTAATTTAAATTTAATGTGAGGAAATAATGATTATGGTTCATACATCCTGGATAAAAGACAAGATGAAAACAAGAAGAATACAAAGCTTGACCATGGACCACCTAAATAAGGATTCAAAGCTTCCAAGACGCTCCAAAGAATGGACCTTTGAGCAGACAAAAGGCCCGCTCTCGGGGGTTCGGTAATTGTCTTGAATTCCAAAAACCCTTTCAATACTATCAGATCGATTTTCTGAGGCCTCGGATACACAATCATCAAAATAATGGATGCTCCTTCCCCCGTCCTTACCGAATCCTCTAGCTTGACTATGATCCGATGCCTCACTGGCAGTGACACTTACAGGCGAAGAAACTTCCCACTTTGATGATGATGAGGGAACCTCATCGTCCGAGATTATCCCAGCTGCAGCAGCAGTAAGAGCAATTGCACAGTCAACTGGTATTGCAGAAGCTGTCCAATCTGCTTCATCATCCCTGTAAGGGGAATCAATGCTTGCATTTGATGCGTCATTCATTTTCGATGCAGAGGGGATAAAATCAGTGAGATTTATTTCACTAACAAAATGTGTTATCCTATTCAGACGCTCTTGTGCAATTACACTGCATTCAAATAAATATAATATAGTCAATGGTATAGAATAAATAAAAATTCAACTTTATTCATACCAGTAGACAGCTGATGAGAAATTCAGCGCAAACCTGTTCAACATCTCGTAGTGTAATTCAAATAAAGGAACTCTTGTTAAGAGACAATAACAGCGGGGTGCGGAAACCAAAAACCGACTGCGACCAACTGACGATTGGGAAAGAGGTGATGAAGGAACATAGATAGCAGGTGGTTTCTGAACAATTTCTGGTACATGTAAACATACACCATAAAGGGTAGCATTGTCTGCCACCTGATGCAAAGCACATATTGTAACTTCAGCATTTTACAGGGATTAATATGAACACAATGAAGATAAGAAAAGGTAAAAATCCAAAGCTAACATATAACACCACGTACAGCAAATAGAAAAGTCATCTACAAGAAAACTCCAAATCAAGAAAAAAAAAAGAGCAAGAAAATACCAACAGCAGAGGAAACCAGGTCGACGTCCTTCGCTTAGAGTAGTCGACAGTGGCTAGTAAGTTAATTACTTACCTAGTAATATTTGTGCATAGCTGATGTAACGACCCGACCGGTCGTTTTGAGCTTTTGCACTTTGATCGCCAGTTCCCGGGCATGACTTGCCCCGTGTAATGTATTATGACTGATGTAGATCGTTGGTTTTGGTTTTCAGGAAAATCGGGATGAATTTGAAGGAACAGTTTCAGTTGAAAACTTCGAATTTGAAAGGTTTGACCAAGGGTTGACTTATTTGTATATGAGCTCGGATCGGAATTTTTATGATTTGGTTAGCTTCGTGGGGTGATTATGACTTAGGGGCGCGATCGGAATGTATTTTGGAAGTCCGTGGAAGGATTTGGCTTGAATTGGCAAAGTTAGTATTTTGGCGAATTCCGGTTGATAGGTGAGATTTTGATCCGAGAGTCGGAATGGAATTCCGAGAGTTGCTGTAGCTTCATTATGTGATTTGGGATGTGTGTGCAAAATTTCAGGTCATTTGGACGTCGTTTGGTCGGGTTTTTGATCGAAAGTGTATTTCGGAAGTTTTTGGAAACTTAGGCTTGAATCCGATGTGTTTTGAGTGATTTGATGTTGTTTGAGGTGTTTTGATGATTGGAACAAGTTTGAATGAGGTTTTAGGATATGTTGGTGCTTTTGGTTG